ATAAAAACCAGATAACAGTAAAGTGAACTAAACGTAGACCCCATTTCCATAGATTTTAGATCGATCTATCCCTGTGGGGAGTCTCACTAGATTACTGTCAGCTTATCCGGCTTAAGCGTCTGTCCCGCCTACTGAAAGCTGTATGGGGGTAATTAACTATGGTGCGCGCTCGGCTGACTGCAATTTAGCGTGAACCCCCAGGGAATTAGGTCGATCTTAATCTAAATCTCTGGATCGATCTACATCTCTGGGAATGCACCCATAGACCCGATATGCACTTGGTTAAGTATATATTTATATCGAGTTCGCATCTACGCGACCGTCGCCTGTGTTCCTTAGCTCTTTTAAGGAGTTGTATGAGACTCTGGTTCTTCTGAGGCTGCATTACCAAGGGACGTGTGGACATTAGTTGAAAAATGCGCCCCAAATTCTTCCCCCCACCCCCCGAAATTTCCTGAATTGTAAGTTTGTGAGTGCATGTCTACTTGCGTGCAAGTATATATGTATGTGTATGTGCGTCTTTGTGTGAAAGACATTGCGAGCTTGCGTCTATTGAGCTCTCAATATGTATGGGCGGGTCTTGGCAGCTAGTTCGGTGCATAATTTCATATTTCCACTCATTTCGAATTAAAAAATGTGACGCTGAATTAATCACAGTATTATGTCTCATTGTCACGGGCAGGTATATAGGCTTATGTCAGCTCTCCTGCCAATTCAACCCTAACCGAATGATAGCTGTGGTATTCCATGTGCCTGGAAGATGCGATTGCTTTTGTTGCGACAGAGGGTTGCGATTGTTTCTCATTTGATTTAAACCTCTCTGGTGTTCTCAAACGACGATGAGATTTTGTGATACATCTTAGGTAAAGAGGAGAAAAAATAGAGGTACCGAAAATGATCTTTTTTATTTAGATACATTCTTGCAAAAATGGTGAAAAATGCAAAAATTATACAAATCAATGGTTTCGTTAAAAGTGCGCGCGACGGCATCTGCAGTTTTTTTTTTTTTAATGTTTCATCATTGTAACAAGAATGTATTCATCAAGCAAAATCTGAAGAGTCTGACGAGTCAGTCTACCCCTACAAAATTAAAAAGGGAAGCTAACAAGACCATCTGTATTAACCTATTTGTATGGTACATGTAATATAGTCCTACACAGCAATAACCAGTGACGCTATATAAATGTGTCACCGGTATAAATACATGGAGAATAATTGAATACACGTTTGTACCAGCATATAGCCATATGCTTAGCAAGCGCTTAGGCGTGCTGTGAATTGCGACAGAAAGGGGAATGCCGAAATGAAGGTAAGCAAATGAATATGTTATTTCCCTGTAATCAGAACTGTTTATTCCATCAGGCAGAATGCGCAAGGGAGATATGAGCTATATGCATTCTCCATACCTTTCTAGGCGAAACCATCTATGAATTCTGTCCCTTCCTCCCTTTACAAAACACTTTTGCTTTCATGTACATATATCCCATACTTGTAGAGGGTGAAGGGATAGTTTAAAGGTATACCATACACGTTTCAAAATTTCCTCCAGTCAATTTTGTATGTTTACGTATCTTGAAAAGCTACTTATCTGTCCAATTCAGAGCTTAAAGATGCATATCAAGTCAACTTTTTGCCACAAAAGCCAACCAAATGCCAGCATACATGTATAGTAAGTAGTATAACTAAGAGAATTACCAAAAGGCATTGTTTAATTTTACCTGAAAATGATGTTTGAACTGATTTTTCTGCTAGCATTCTATGCTGTATGTCAATGGGGCAGAAAAGTAGGTCACGAAAGTAGGTTAAATTTTTGACCAAAAATTTTAATAAAGGAGCATGCAGTCTTAAGCTCTTTTACGGCTGATCGAGTGATCTATTTAGTTTATCCCTTCGCATGTCAAATTTATTCAAGTCGTATAAGAAACTAGTAGAAGTGGTTGATATGTGTTACTGGGAATCCACGCTCCACCGATGCTCGGTTCGTACGTACCTTTAAAATTTAACAACCTTTCAAATAAAAGCACTTGATATCGATATCGTTATTTCCTTCTGGCAATGGGTCCTGAATGAATCACGATATTTGATACACAATATCGAATTCAAGAGCAAAGACAGGTAGAGCAATGATTCTTGAGTAAGAGGATTTTTGTTTTTGAGAAAAAATTTAGATTTTGCACAAAAAAATCTCATATAGATAGGCCTACCTTTTAGGCCAACACCTTGATTTCTTATTGAAAACTGAATAAAAAAAATGAGGCACTGGGATTATGAGGCATTTGATTGGTAATGAGTTCAATTATGTTGATTTTGTTTGGGCTAACTTTTATTATATCATATATTCTAAAAAGATGCATAGATATGTCTGCATTCGTTTTAAATACATTAATTTCTAGGCGACCGTTTCAACCTCCGTCGTATTTATTGGTTTCCTATTGCTTTTGAATTTGGCGCCCGAGGCAGAGCCCAAGTACACTTGCAATAAATTGCCTCAAAGCAAGACAGCGTCTAAACGGGTGATAGCAATGCCAGCACCAGAGCCGCATCTACCAGTGAAGTATTATGTTGCATATTTTCTACCAGTTCATATTAATAGATAAATGCACATACACATGCATTACATACATATACAGTTTAAGATATCGATACAGTATATATATATTTTTCGTTAAATTATATATATATATATATATATATATATATATATATATATATATATATATATATATATATATATATATATATATATATAATTTTTGTTAAACCGATAAACGCCTGTCTTTTTTTCTAGAGCCCTAAACCCATAGCCAAAAGGCGACAGCTGACACTCAAGATAGATTGACTAAAACCCAGATCGATGACGAAATGGTCCAACACCCAAGGAGGCCTAAGTCAATATTGAGTAGATGAAAATATTTTAATAGATTACAATAGCTGGCTAGTTTTCTTGTCTTCCGTGGTGGGTTGTGGTCTTAAAAAGAGGTCAATGACTTCTTAACTGAAAGTAATCGTATCGCCGCAAATATGTTTTAGTCGATTTGAATAAAATTTTAATTCAAGAGAAAATGCATTGATTCATTAATTTTTGCGTGACGTTTTCGTGTATCTGTCATGTTATACTAGTCGTTCTCAATAACAACGAATGATCAGTAAATGAATAGAGACTTCACACCGCTCCGATCAAATCAATCACAGCTGTTTGGTTTGTCGAAGTTGGAACACAGCTGGATGACAGAATGACCAGTAAAATGTTTCTTATATTAGCGCTGTATGGATAGTTTTATACATGTAGACTATTTATTGTACATATATCTATAGGCATGCATCTTTGGGATAAAAATCTGTTGATTAAAAAGGACTTTAGATCCCAGGGAAGGTGTTTTTGAAAATAGAATTTTTGAAATATCTTTCTGGGGTGTTTGCCTTTTCCAACCATGAACTTCAACAGCTTTACCTCCAACCAATCGTTTTGCCTACGATCCTGGTAGCTGTACATAGGTCATCTTCCAAACAACACACTGTATTAGTGCATTAGTGCATTAACTGTGAGTACTGGTACCATTGCTTAAAACACTGATAACCCCGATAGAACATAGAGATGTTTTTACCAATTTCCATCATTGGCCATTATATCGTTCATACCAACCACGAATGCTAACAACTTTTAATGGCTACGAAAATCATATTCAAGGAGACTGATAATGACAACAGCTCCTTACCGTTTTTATAGTTTGTGTGTCGTGAGCGTTTTTTTTCCCAATTCATGAAAACCTTTAGATTAGGCTCACATTATTCTAACTTAAAGTGCGTGTCTCTAGAATTAGCAAGTAAGCCATATAGTTATCCTAATGACGCATATTATAATAAGGCATTGTCCACAGTAGTCTTTTTCATATTGGTTCTAAATGGATCCATAAGTTAATATGAATAAGGTTTTAGATGGACTGTGTTACAGACACGCCCTTTGTTCACAGGGGTGACAAATTATTGCACCATTTGGCTTGAAGGTGAACAACAGGTGGATTGTTAGGTTTTTCAAGTTAGGATCTTTACTACATGTTTATAGAAAATTGTTTGCCCTTTCACAACACACGCTGTTTTGTCAGTATTAACCTTTTGTAGGAAGGGCACGTGATTTCAATCTCAGTTATCGTCTGGGGGCTATGTTGACTCAGGCTCTAAAGATACCACGCAATAGAGCATTTTAAGTAAATGGACAGTCATTTGCCATTTGCTTTCCAATCTAATTTCACAGGTTTTCAATGAGGATTCTTTTCTGGTGATTGAGCAGGATTCTTTTCTCTTGATGTCATGGCGGTAAAACCACTCTCTTACAGCCCTGGCTTATCTGTTCCAAAAGATGTTTTCTACCGATGGTTAAGAACACCTGTCGTCTCTGGCACTAATCTTCCTTGGGCGGCCACTACATGGTGCTTTATGGGTATCGCCACTGTACTCCATCCTTCTACAAATCCCGCATACAGTCTGAACAGACACACCATATCTAGCAGATATTTTGGACATCTATACCCTCCTCCTTCGGAGATAGAACTAATTTTATTTCTTCATTTGTGAGCTCCCGCACATTCAATATGGCAGAAACTTGACAGCCAGAAGGGCGTTAAACATTCGATGACACCCTGTATAGTGCACATGGATGAAAATTCACCACTGGTTACGCGAGCGAATCAATTTTTAAGAACGCCGCCCCCCCCCCATGTCACATAGTGCACTATTCACACATATGGTCAATACTTTTGTCACCACTCTGTACATGCAGTGAGTCGAAAGTGGCTTAAACATCGTAATGCGCATCTTCTGACATGCATCAAAACGGTTCTAAGTCGATTTAAGCCCACTTCACAAGCCCTATTGTAAATGCAGCCGAGTATTGATTATTCTAATCTCATTCACATCGTCACAATTAGCAGCTTCCTGTTTGCCAGCCTCTGGGAAACCGAACTATAGCTATAATGAGAATGAATAATTAATCAGCACTGACGTCAAACGAAAACCCTTTGACGCCATGTTGCATCTGATTTCTGCCATCATTTGACAAAAAACGCCAACAGAAGGACGAAAACGGCTGAGGAAGAACAAGACCAAGGGATACCACTCCAAGAAAGCGACCTATAGGCGACATACTACGCAACCAACGGGTATTTACATCATTTTCTCATCGTGTACTATATATATTTGAAAATATCGACAGGTATTATGCCGTTATTTTGCGTTCATTGTCTAACAGATGGAAAATTTATGGCATTTATTGTGAGCTCACTTTGATACATTGATGCATTAAATCTTTTTCATCATGAATCCGTTGCGAATGTATTAAGTATAAGAACAAGATACATGATGTTTCTCTATCACTTGTTTCTGTAAAATGTAAGTTGGTTAATGGGCGTCAAAGACAGGTTGGTATCATGGCATTTCCCTATCGTAATATTTCATTTCGGCGGGATGATTCTTTCAGGATTCCAATCACATTTTTATTTCGGATCTCTCTATGTTCAACACACAAGCAACAGCATGTAACGCTTAGTAAGGTAGTCATTTATGCTTAATCAGCACATGTAATTACACGGTAATAGGTTACAATTGACTATATAAAAGATAGAAAATACACATAAAACTAGATTGGATTTCCGGGGAGGTAATAGATAAGGGAGCCCGATATATATAGCACAGTACATGTATATAATATTCAGCCGTTTCTAAAACATGTCCCATTTTCTCATTAGGTGGAAAGAAGAAAAATCGATTATCATGCGGCTTTCGACGTATATGCTCTTTGCCGTCATGGCAACCATCCTGACTTTCTCCCACGCTTCGTATTACGAAGACAACGACGCTCTGTTCCGAGAAATGTTGGCCGAAATGGAAGAAAATGAAAGAGAAAAACAGTATGGAGTTGATGGCAGCTACGATCCTTACGCAGCCTTCGAAGACGGAGACAAATACGACGATAGTTATGGCCCATTCGCTGAGGCCAACCTTAACCCGACAGTGTTGTACAACCCAGGGATTGAGAAACCTGACAGCAATGATGAGTTGGCCGGAGATGACCCGCGCAGCGCTGATATACGTGATCAAGAAAAAGAAAACCAGAATATGCTTTGGGGATATCAATACGTTTCAGGTAAGATTTTTTATTTGGCTTACCGATTTTACCATAGAAAAATATGTTTCTTTCTTGTGTATTCTTAATTTTAATTAAAAATTTTAATTTAAAAATGCTGAATCAAAGTTTACAAACTGCACACGGATATTGAAAACTATCAGATTTAAGAATAAACTACATACAACTGACTTAAATTTTACGGGGAATCAAAACGTTAAAATAGATACTTTTCATCTCGGCAATAAGATAAATATATAGAAAGCAAACTTTCCCAGGACTGAATACCGTCAAGCATTACTAAGACTTAGGTTTTTTTTTATTGTTTCCATTATTTTTTAAAGGTGGTGCGGGAGAGGGAAAGCAGCACTTGGTGGGTAACATTGATAACTCGATGAAGCAGGAAGTAAAGACAGACGCAGCTTTACCTGCATATTGCAACCCCCCAAACCCATGCCCCAAAGGAAAGACAGGTATGCTACGTTTATATCCGTAATTCACAAATTCTTAGAGAAACGAGTCCATCTGATTATGATCTATTATCGCGATTTAACAAAAAGATATCTGATAATCATGATACTAAAACATCCAAACCACAGAATAAAAATGGGATTTAAATCCATACCTCTTTCTCTCTCTGCCATTGGCAAAGCTTTTCATTGTAAAAAATTATACTTATTTAAAGTGAATTGTTTGCAGCTGCAAAGGACAACTGCCAAGAAAACATTCCCGATACAGCCGCGTTTAACCAGCGTTATAACAACTGGCAACAAAAGAGCGGGGCATGCAAATGCGACAACGAGCACATGTTTAACTGCCCGGACGGCGCCACCGTCAGCAGCAAGAAGGCTTATGGTGATGACTATGGCAGTGACGAGCTGGACAACTTGGTAAAATCCTTGTTGGGTGAGAATACAAAGACAAGGGACGAGGAGGTAAAGGAGGATTGTGCATTGCATTCCTAACCTTTCCACCCTGAGATTTGGAGGCTTAGGCTCACTTTCCGCAGTTAGTTTTGATCAAACAACTGTGGAAATTGAGTCTACATGATAAACCTTTGGAAATCAGGGTGTGCCTTTCGTGCTTCGTTGGTTGTTTGCGCTTAATTCTGTTATAATTTTGCATCTGTGTCGACACAAAAGACAACACTCAGAGCAATAAAATATCTTTCACAACTGCACATTAAGAAAGCTGCACATTTTAAAAGAAAGCACATCTTAAAAGAAAGTCCATGATATAATTCCTTAATTATTCAAATAAAAATATATATACATGCATTTTGCATTCGCTTGAAACTGAGGTAAACTAGAATACACTGAGTGTTTTGTCTTACTTTTGTCTTTTATTCTATTTTCCAACAGAATCTTGTATAACTGGCATAATGTGTATGGTCCGCATAATGTTAACTGTTTCGTTGTTGGATGTCTAATCTGTATTATTGTACAGTTTGTAGTTTGTAACTGAGCGAAATCTGTGTTGGGTAGGTCTTGGTGTTTTCTGTATGGCGCATACCCAGGATTCCATGTTGTCTATTGTAGTGGGTACAAAATTTGCTTTATCAAGGCTAATTTAGTGAAGTGAGCATGCGTAGGTTCATGGTCGGTGAGAATGTCGGTGCTAAGGATTTTCATTATATACCATGGCATTACTCTGTGTTTTAGGGTCTGGTGGGAATTTATAAGCAACACTATTACACGATTTCCAGCAGCAGCTGGTTAAAAGTGGTCGTTAGGGAATCAACGCATGAACAGACTCTTAAACTTGGGGGGGGGGGGGGGTCGGGCAAAAAATGTTCTAGTTTAGAAAGCGGCCACTCCAGTTTTTCGTCTACAGTTAGCCAACTATATTGCCTTTTTTTAAAAATTGATATTAATGTGTGCGCATGAAAGAGACGATAAAAACCTTAAAACCATTTTACTTGCAGAATCATGTCTGACATCAACGCAGATACCGATAAGATGATCATTTTGTTTAAACCTTGTTTAGCGTCCTATGGTTGTAAATTAAGTCAGCAGAACTGCTGAGTCAGCCAAATTTTTATTGTATCACTTAGATAAACATACGGGCACATCGGGCTGTATTCTAGTAGGTACACCACTTTAAGCACACGCCCGCTTTTCTGTTTCAGAGCAACCCGTTCAGCCAGGGCTCAAAGCGTGACTCACTGGTTCCCAAAAAGCATCTGCACAAGAGAGTAAGTATATATTGACCCCAAATCTGGTACATATATGGTGATTTTGTAAAATCTCAATCGCGGGATTTATGCTTTAGGCAATGCAAACTTGATTACTTTCTTTGGAAGATGTGCATTTTATGCAAGAAGAAATTTTTATGAATGGAGGTTTAAAATTACATGCACCCAGTTGAAAAATTGTACATGCATTTGTAGTTAAATTCCTAAACCTTTAAAAAACAAAAACAGCAATAAAATGTCAATCACATCAGTACATTCAAGTTTAAATAATGTTCAATTATTTTTGCCAATACAAATAATTAGCTTTTTTTATTTTTTGCGTTCAGCTTCTTTTTTTTTTTTTGGTTCTATTAGAACCTTGAAATTTACATCGTTTTGCCATTAATAAGCACAGTTTGAAAAATTGATATCTTAATGTATTTGATGTTATATTCAGGAGGCTGAGAAAGTAATGAAAGACCCCATCAAGTTGCCAAACCCCAATATGATTTTAACTGACAACAGTAACCTGAGAATTGTAGCCAAGAAATCACCTCCATTATATTAATTGATATAGAAAGATGAAGGTGAAATTTGTCAAATGTTGTTATGTTATATCTATCTTTATGGAAAATCTACTTAATTGATGTTAAAATGGAGCAAACAGTAAATGACCATTTGACAACGTTAATTACAAGATCCTTCTCTATGATCCTTTGAGATCCTACAGCAAGTTACAAAAAGTAAATTTTCAAAAATGCATTTGATTTTTCATGTTGACATATCTATGTAATTTCAACAAACTGAAAAGGAATTCATCTAACGTTGAACAGTAGATAACAGTGACAGTTTTGAACAATGTTTACAACATAATAAAACATTCCCTGTAAAGAAAATAAAAGAATGGTTTATATGGTTTTTAGAAGCAGTGGGCTCTGATTATGAGTTACTTCTTCTTCATTCAGATATAAATGATCAAATAATAAGCAAACAGCAAAACAGCACAGCAAACGCAGTTAACAGGCTGTTAAGATCATCTGATTGATTTTTAACTTGACCTTCCATCTTTATCAAATCAGTGACCTAAATAGGCCATTGATCAAGCAAAACCTCTCATCAAATTTGCAGTTAAACAAAATTATATGGTTTGGCAGTTAGAGAATGAAGGAGAATGTATTAGACACCGTTAACCAGTATATATGCAGATACTTGAAGTTTGTATATGAAATGTAAACCTTTAAAAATACTCAAGCAATAAAGTATAGGCTGCTTGTAACGAAAACTTGAATGACTTTAGCAGTTTAAAAGTTTTCACCTGATTAATACATATTTGTCCCAATAAATTTCAACTTTATGGATAGTTTTTGGCACATTTATAACTGTTGTGGCTAAAGTTGTACAGTAAGATTTTGTCAGAATGAACTTGAAGTCAGTAATATCTCTATAAGAAATGTTCTCTGAAGGTGAGTAACTGTTGGGGTTGTTGTTTTAAATATTTCTTTATCTGTGTAGCATATATTAGTATGTTGGAAAAAAACACCCCATTTTATTACTATTCTGTGCACATAAACTAGCTTGGGCACATTGTATTATTGAATCATAAGTGTTTATTTATTTTCTACTGACTTGTACCAACCAACCCACCCTTGATGTGGAGTTGTCATTTATTTAACTGGAGCTTTATCACTATGACAGAAGTGTGCTGGGTAAAATACTGCTAAGTCAATTCAAATAGGACAGTGATCAAACTTCAAATGTTTTTCCTTTTTCATTAATCGTTTTTGGTATTCTAAAATTGTTCTCAATGACAAGAACTCACCTTATTTTTTGGAACTTAACTTTAGATTTACCACTTTTAAGTATTATTAGAAATTTAGTTATTACAATTATTAGTAATTTTGTTTGAATATAGTGATTAAATATTGTAAGCAAGGAATCAAATAATAAAATGTTTTGTTTGAATATAATGATTAATTATTGTAAACTGATAACATTAGCCCAATAAATTCGTATAATCCATGATAATAGATCAATGTGCCAAATGCAGAACAAATTTTTTTCTTCAATCATTCACTTTCTGATATCATCTTAGAAACTAAGTAAACACTGTAGCATTTCCAGAAAAGGAAGGGCAGTGGTTCTGTTTATTAGATACGAAGTGATTAATACTTTTCAAATTTTCTTGCTGCTACACTGTGGGTTATCTTGCCTTCCTTAAGTTCATTCAAAAACCTGTCACTTTTTTTGACTCTAGGAACAAC